GTGAGTCGCCATGATGCTCCCACTCCAGACAGACGCAGGTTAAGATCCTCTCTGGTAAGCCAGCTCATGGGCTACACAGAATATTAGAAATGGGTTAGAACAATATGTAAGAGCTAGCCAATAAGAAACTGGACCTAGCCGGGCCAGGCAGTGTTTGAAAGAATACAGTTTCCGTGTAATTATTTCGGGCATAAGCTAGCCATGCGGGCGGCCGGGTGCCGGGGACGCAGCCCTGCCGCTCCTAATTTCAACACTTATTGATAAAGAATAATTAGATAAACACTTCAGTATGACTTCTTCAATCTCTTCTTATATTAGTTTTTGAGACGGGGTATCCTAACGAACCAGGGTTTCACCAATTTCACTGGACTGGCTGGCCAGAAAGCTCTTGGGATACTCCAGTCTCCGTTTCACCAGAGCTGGTTCCTCCGGCACTTCTAGGTGGAGAGATGAGGTCCTCAAGTTTCAAGCATCACAGGATTGCAACTGCAAGGTGAATGTTTAAGTCTCTTGAGAAATAGAATTGTGAATTCTCCTGTGGGTATCCTAGCAAACTCTCAAGTTTTGTTTCTGCCTTCATTGTTTCTTACACATTAAGAAGATTTGAGGTATACCTTTTTTTAAACTTTTTTTTATTGAAAAAAGGAAAAAAAAAGTTTCTGCCTCCTCCCAGCCTCCCATTTCCCTCCCCCTCCTCCCGCCCTTCTCCCCCTCCCACCACTCCTCTCCTCCTCCCTCTCCAGTCCAAAGAGCAGTCAGGGTTCCCTGCCCTGTGGAAAGTTGAAGGTCCTCCCCCCTCCGTCCATGCCTAGGAAGGTGAACATCCAAACTGGCTAGGCTCCCACAAAGCCAGAACATGAAGTAGGATCAAAACCCCGTGCCGTTGTCCTTGGCTTCTGATCAGCCCTCATTGTTCGCCATGTTCAGAGTCCAGTTTTATCCCATGCTTTTTCAGTCACAGTCCAGCTGGCCTTGGTGAGCTCCCACTAGATCAGCCCCACTGTCTCAGTGGGTGGGTGCACCCCTCGTCATCCTAACTTCCTTGCTCATGTTCTCCCTCCTTCTGCTCCTCATTGGGCCATTGGGAGCTCAGTCCGGTGCTCCAGTGTGGGTCTCTGTCTCTAACTCCATCCATCACCAGATGAAGGTTCTATGGTGATATGCAAGATATTCATCAGTATTGTTATAGGATAGGGTCCTTTCAGGTTCCCTGTCCTCAGCTGCCCAAGGAACTAACTGGGGACATCGCCTTGGTCTCCTGGGAGCCACTCTAGGTTCAAGTCTCTTGCCAACCCTAAGGTGGCTCCCTTAACTAAGAATTGTGCTTCCTTGC